TATGCAAAGACTGCAGAGGATCAATTCTTAAAGTATTTTCTTACATTAAAAGTCGTTCTTTCATTAATCATATTAAGCCAAGGTATGGAAACATATTACAATATTTACATTGTCATCCCTGCTCAATATTTTTTCTTCTCATTTAGCCAAACGGCCTGTTTTGTCTGAAATAAAGGCAACCGCAGATCATCAGAATATCCTCCTTACAATTTCTATATCACAATTTGCACCTCATGATATACAAGTCAGATGGTACCAAGGCTGGAGACAAATATATGAAAAGATCAATCCCAGGAAGTTTACGATTGGAGAAGATCACTTATGTTATTTTGTTAGTAAAATACGCTTCGATCCAAAATTACTTAGCTTTGGGAAGACAATACGATGTGAAGTTAAACATCTAACATCTACTGAGGAAAAAAGCTTAACACTGAATACAACAGGTAAGTTGGATGCATACATAAATACTCTATTTATTGAAGGAGTATCCAGACCAGTGACTATTTTCCAACAACTGAATGGGCAATTGTTTCTCAATTGTTGTAATGGATCCAAAATTCTCACTCACTGAATAATAACAATGGAAAGAGGAAAAACTGTAGCGTAAGCAGTGTTAGCTACATAAAGAAAAGGACTATGTATTGGCCTATTAGTCACTCCACCATAAACATTATTGAGCGAAAACAAGTATTTTGCTGAATTTGCTTGTGCAGGCTGTTGGTATCTGTGACCCAGATCAGTGTTTCTTAAATTTTTGGTCTCAGCACTCTTTCCCACTTTTAAAACTTATAGAGGATCTTAAAAGAGCATTTGTTTGTATCGGTTATTTTTATCAATATTTATTCTACTGAAAATTAAAATTGATTCATTCACTGCCACTAATGTTTCTCACAAATGTTTGATGGGATTTTTATATTGTATTATTTTTCAACATAGGCTGGCAAATAATTTTTAATTGTCGGACTTCTGAGGGGGTCTTGGGGGACCCCTAGGGTCCTTGAGCCACCTTTTGATAGATACTGACCTACTGTAGATGCTAAACAGACCACAATCAGTATGTAACTACTAGTGATGGTCCTTTATTCCAAGTCAGGAGATTATGTGACTGTTCATATCACCTCTTCAGTGGCATCCAGCCTGCTTCCACATTGCTCTAGGTTTATTATGACTTAACTATCCATATCTGTCTGCACAGGGGAAAGGAAGAAAGTATATAACTATAATGGATCAAAAACTGCTTATGGCACAGGATCGCAGCATGTTATCTTTTGGAAGAACTCATAAAAGTTCCCCAAACTATATCAGCTTGATTCTCATTTTGCTGGTGTGGTAATTGCCACCTATAATAGAAGACAGAAACTTTAAAACAGTATATCAAAATGCAAAAAAATGAGCCACAAATAGGACTGACTTATTTCAACAAGCAAAACAAAAAAACACACATCCCCCCAAATTCCTATGTGATGGCCTTGTTATTCTGTTTGTATGAGACATACTGAAATATCCGATACAATTTTAAAATTATTAAACCAATAGACTGAGAATGATGAAAATTGTTTGATGATGAAGTTGGCTCTAGTCCACAAATGTTTGTGCCATGTAAATTTCTAAAAAAAAAAAACCAAGAGGTTCTTAGTATGGTTGCTAGAGTAGATTCTACTCGGAAGCGGTGGCCTCTGCAGTGATGCTCAAACTGATCCCTCTGATGAAAACATCATCATAGTAACATGATACAATTCCTGCCCCTTTTAAATGTCCATTATGGCACCATGCGCATGTTGAAAAGGAGGAGAGTTTGTGGCACAAAACTGCTATTATCATTTTAACAAAAACAGTCACCGTGTTTTATGGTCACCCATAACGTTTGCTTATTAAGAAGAATAAAAATCCTAATAGGAAGCTTAGGCACAGCATTCTTTTCCTTTTGCAATTAAATGTTGAATGTATCTAATAGCAATTGAAATTTCTTATAAATATTATTTCCATGGTTCTTGGTCTTACAACAGCATGGAATGCTCTTCCTGAAAGACAAGCGATGGTGATTGACTGACTTACTGTACTTGAAAGTTACTTAATACTGACTCTGTGGAGTATGACAAGGACTCATTAGACAGAGTATTGTAATATGACTTGAAGTATGTTCCAAAGCTTATTGAGTTGACTTATTGTTCTTCCTCTTCCACTTCCAAGATTTTTCTGAACTTCTTGAGGAAACCCAACATCATCGCCCTGAGTCATAACCATTATGAACTCATTCAAAGTAAGTGTTAAACTTTGAATGCAAGTAAAATGCAGATATGTGCATAGATTATCCTAGTGGTGATAATCTGTGTCAATTTGGGACTCAGATTTATAGTTGACAGTAAAAAAAAAAATGATCCAGAAAGGAGGGAAGGGGAAGATGGTTTGTGTAGGCAGAACAAGAAAGGATCTGGTTGATTTTCCCTAGCAGATTGATGCATGGAGACCTGATCCTGGTATCACTGTCAGCACTGTTATTCTTTGCATCAGGGGTACCTGTGCTAAAGCTTACTCATGATTTAACAGTGGATGAGAGGGCTCACACAGCATGTATAATCAAGACCTGGAAAGGTGCCACCTGGGCTTTCAATATAGCCACAGTTACCGCCCCAGAGCAGAAGCAGTGGAAAGGCTATAGTTGCTGGAGAGACCCTAATAGCTTTCAGAGACCTCAGAGATCAGCTGTGTGGTTGAGCCAAGATAGGAATTTTTTAAAGTATTACTTCGTGGTGAGAAGAGGAGCAAAACATAATTATTTTCCAACTGCTATTGCAGAGCGCTGTCCAGCCACCATGGTCAGAATAATCCAACCTGCCCCTGGAGAAGGAAGAACCCTTACAAAACATCTATGAGGCCTGTTGTAAAGACTATTCTAGCCATCTGTTGGATAAAACTGAACTCACTCTGAGTTAGACTTCAGCTATGCAAGTGCCTTGTGTCAACGCTGTTAACATCGGATGTTTTTGCTTTGACAACAGTTGGAGATGCAACCATTTTCTTATGTTTTACTTTTAGAATTAGAGTTAGAATTAGAGTTAGAGTTATATGATGCTGGGGGGAGGAATGTGCATGAGAGTTTAGCTAGACATAACAATACTGGACCTAGTGTGTGAACCAAGGTTATTGAAATAAGAGATGATAAGAATTGGCAGGCTGGAGAACTGGAGGGAAAGCCTGCATTTCAAACTAATTGGAGAATGTGATTTATGACTGTTAATTGGAGGAGGGAATTGTGCTTTGATACTTCAGTGCTGCGAGTGCAGCCAACTGTATCTTAGATCCATGTTTACCTGGTTGGATA